CGGTCGAGTAGCATACTGATGTGCTCCAGCAAATTCCACCATTCCTCGACATTTGTCAACAAGAGATTCGGTGCTGAAAGAAGAGAACACCGTGCTAAAAAAGAAGGAAATGCAGCGTTTGGTGCTGCAACATTCATTCCAACAGCAACAATAACACCACAACCTACTCCATTGGAGTAGGGCAAGTTTAATCATGACTCTTTAGCTCCAAAATTTCTTCTTTATTTTCATTTATTTAAATCTGGGAAAAATCTTTTATTTTAGAATTTCTTTAAAGCCAAATAAGTTGTTCTTATTATCTTAAATATGTTCATAGCCCGAATAAATTACTAGTTTTTTTACCATCCTTTAACCTATTTTGTTTTTTTTTTTTGTTGCTAGAACTAGCCACTCTATTTTTAGGAGACAATTTGGTCTAAACTTGCTCCAAAATTCTAGGAAAGGATATAGGCCATTTATTCTTTTCATCATAACCCTTGGACACCCTTGCTCTCAATAATTCATCAAAAAAACAAGACGTTGTTTCAAATGAGTTTGGGGGAGAGATATCCAAAAAGGCCAAAAGATCAACACAAAAAGAGAAAAGCTCTAAAATGATGCCTCGTTTTGGATTTATCAAAAGCACTAAAAATGTCTCATAGGAACAAAGTGTATGTTGTCAACAAAAGAGCCAAAACGCCAAAAAGTGAGAAAATCCTATGTTGAAGCAAAAATGAGAGAAAAGGCTTGGTGAGAAAAAAAATATGCCAAATGAGAACCAGTGTTGGAAAAGTCCTATTGATCATTTAATGGGCAAGTTTTTGACCTAAAAAAAGAAATGTGAGGCTAGAATATGGTTTATACAAGTGGTTAATATAGGTATGTGTTCACTTATGATTTATGAAAGGCTATGGATGGCATTTTGGATAGAACAACTTTACTTAGATATGCACTTGTTGCTATGGCTTGCATTTTCTTTATATTGAGTCATTTTTAGTTGTCTTTTGGTTATTTGGGGACACACAACACTTTAAGTTTGGGGGGTGTGATGTGCATCGATTATTCAATATATAAAACACCTATTTCCTAATTTTTAGTTAGTTTATTTTCTTTTATCCCAACTTTGAGTCCTTTTTATTACATTATTTTTTATTTGTTTATACTTGGAGCTAAATTGAGTGATTAACTTGTCTTTGCACCATTAGAGTAGAAGAAATTTTAACTTGAAAGCATAATGTTATCTGCTGCAGCATTCCAACAACATTGAACTGTCATGAGGCGGCCTTTGGGGAAGTGCTTAAGGATTCAGCTGCCAATTTAGGAAGAAGACAATTTTTTGTTAATCCGTTGGTTAAGGACCATTACAGCTGGAATGAAGGACTTTGATGGTTTCTTTTGCTTGTGATGTGATACTCCCTTTTAGACTTTTGTCCTCCTTTTAGGAACATTTGATTTGCCAAGGCTTTTGTCTATTTGTTGGGAACTTTTGAATAAATAGGACCCTTAGTTGCTCTTGAAAATCATCCCAAAAACACTGAAGAATCAGATATGTAGTTCATATGTTTATGCAAGTTAGTTTTTAATTTTTTTAAAATAGTGTTCTTCATTATGGGTTGTTGCAACATTGTCTTTACTTTATTTACTTTTCTTGTAATTTAATTTCCGCTCTTTACTTTCAGTCATTTACTTTTCGTCATTTATATTCATGTTTTTTACTTTTTGTTCTTTATATTACTTGTAATTTAATTTCCGTAATGAGTAGCTAATTCCATTACACCTCTTGACGAGTTGATCACTTTGAAAGTGTTAAAGTGCCACGATCTTAGAGATAAATCATTGAATGTACGTGAACTTGAATGATATAAGAGTTAGACTTGAGAAAGTTGCCGACAAGGAAACTTGTCATTTATATCTTTCAAACAAATTAATTCTCGATAGGTTGGTCACTTGTTAAAAGTGTTAAAGTGCGGGAGATTCAGAGATGAACTATCTAGAACACACGCCAACTTGAATGATATAAGAATCGGCTTGGGAGAGTGATTTTTAATAAAGAGATTTGTTTATCCATATATTTTGAAGAAACCATTTTGTCACCATCGCTGATCCGGATACCACATAGAGATATGGATTGAAAGCTATAATATAGTGTAAAGGTGAAGTCCGAGAGAAATACCTTCAAAATAAATGGTGGAACTAGTTTTGGCTTACTGCATGCTGTAGTATTCCTACAACATTGTCTGCTGGAATTTTTGTTTACGTGTCACCATAAGTCTTACATCCATGCTACCTTTATTTATTATGTTATCTGCAATTGTTAACTCAAAACCAATCAGAGTCTTCAAATTCACCATCTGAAGTTAGTCTTTCAACTTGATATCTTACAACTTAAGATACCTATTTATGTGGAATACGATACTTGATTCTTACCATTTTATTATTTGAAGGCGATAGTGTTGACACGTGTATACTTGCATGTGTTACCACTTAGTGTTGTAGAGATACAATATCCAGATCTCATCAAATTAATGAGTGTACTTGATTACTATTATTAAGATAATCGATGAATGTGTTAGTACACATTAATTGTTAATCTTGCAAAGAATTTACATGGGTTAAGTGTCTTATTTTAGACTGTTTATGGTAAAAAAAAACTTTGCATTTTTTACATAATAAAATTGTTTTCTACCATTTAAAAATCATCAATAACAACCAATCCTAATTAATATATAAAAATGAAGGACTACAAATTTATCATTGGAACATCATTTTTCGGCTGAGTAAATTCTAATTTTGGTCCCTATGGTTCAATAAATATCTGAATTGGGACCTAAACTTTGATAACTCTATAAATCGTCTTCGTGGTTTTCATTTTACTCTGAAAGTGGTCTCTAATCACCAACTCTGTTTATTGTTTCCGTTATAGAGAGAAGCATTTTTTGTCCTTTTATTAAAACTTTTAATTTTCTTTTAATAAAAACTAAAATAAAATATTATGCATTTTATATTTAATATTTTTTTCAGGAATTTATATATATATGTATATATATTATGTATATACACACAGAGACAAAAACCTATGGTGAACAAAGACAAGGGTTCCCTACCTGAAACATCCTCCTGCCGGTCTCGCCTCTTCTTCATCCCATCAATGGCCACTCCTCCGCATCACCCTCTCTTCTCCTTCATCTCAATATCCATATGTTCAAGCTTCAACCCTGTGTTCAGGTGTTCCCAAAGACTATCTCTAATGGTGATAGATTGCAATCCTAATTCACTATAGGACTATATATATATATATATATATATATATATATATATATATGTTATCCTCAATCTAAAATGGACGATCCTGATCACAATCCAATCCAAGATTGCTTTCATTCCTTTTTTTTAATTTAAATACATGAACACTTGTCATTCCTTGATTGGTTGGTTTTATATTTGTTAGGATAAATCTTATCACATTAAAAAGATAATTTTAACAAAAAATGAAAAAAATATATCAAAATTCATATTTTCCAATTCCCTACAAATAGAGATCAATATTGACATATTTTCATCACACCAATTTTTCTCTCTATTCCAATACTCTCTTCATCTTGAAAATCTCAAATTCTAGTTTTTTTTTTCCAATTTTCTGCTATGGATCCAAACTACTCAAATTATTGTTTAGGTTCTGAATATCCTGGTAACTTTCAAAATTTCCTAAACATACAATATGAAAACTCTGAGTTATCCTCTTATGCTAATCATGTTGTTATCCCTGAAAATGTCCAACGGTCGCAAAAGGGCTCGCGAGTCGTTTCTTAGGATACGAGAGAAGATATGATTCTGATGTCAGCATGGATCTTCATTAATGAAGATGCTACTCGTGGAAAAAAACCAAAAGAAAGGAAAGTTATGGTCTCGAGTTAAAGAACACTATGATATAACTCGAGTAGAAAATTCAGAAGGACTGGGCATCCAGAACAAAAATCAAATGAAAAGTCGTTGGTCCCGGCTTAACAAAAATACAAGCATGTGGATTGGTGCTTACAGAGAAGCATACCATAAAAAAAAAGAATGGAATGAGTAACATAGATGTTGAGAACGTAGCGCACAAGATTTATGAGGCAAGTGGGAAAAAGTTTAATGATTTAAAGTTATTTAACGAAGTTATGTGAAAACATCCCAAGTGAGACTTATAGTTACATTGTGAGACAACACATTCTCGCTCGGAATATGAAGTGGGTGATAAAGAAAGTGGTGGAAGTACGAAAAGATCAAGAACTATGGAAGAAGGAGATTCCGTCAATATCAACCAATAATCGCCAACAAGTCAATGCCCCACGGGTAGAGATGCAACAAAGAAAAAAGAAAAGGTAAGACATCGCAATCTTCTTCGATTTCTAATGATTTTTCTGAAAATCTTCATGCATTGACTATTACAAGAAAAAATGAAGTTGAAATGATGAGTAAAAAAATCAATTTTAATTAAGAGAATCTTCAAATCGTGTAAAACCACAAAATCTTACGCTTACTAATGTCCAAAGAAAATTTGTACAACACAAGAAGAGTTGAAAGAACGTCTTATGGCAAAGTTGTATGGATAGTGATGTGTTTGTAATTTTCATATCATGTATTTGTAGTTTAGTATTTCGTGTATTTATTTGTACTTTTTGTATTATGTATTAGTATTTTAGTATTCCGTGTATTTGTTTGTACTTTGCATATTTTGTATTAGTAATTTAGTATAATGTACTATTTTTTATGTTATAGTGAATGGCTGTTATTGTTTTGGAATTTAGCTTATGAGTTGTCTCATTCACTAAAGATCACATGTCATTGTCTAGTAATCATTTGTTGTCTTTTTCACTAAAGATCACATGTCATTGTCCCCCACTGATGATTCAAAATTTTCTTATGTATTTGGTTGTTTTTCATCAAGACTTATTCATACAATCTTTCCTCAAACACCCTACAAAAAATTCCATATTTCACTAAAATGTCTTTCCGCTAAAACTCATCACCAGAATCAGTTGATGAATTTGAAAGCATGGCAATCACTAGTTTTTCAAGAAAACCAACAACTTAATTGCATGATCGAGGATATACTCATCAACTCATCCAATATGTTCATAGGAGATCAACCTCTAAGAGCAAGAAAAATATATCATGACAAGCAATGCGAGATAGGTGAAGCGCGTTTGATGGAAGACTACTTTGTGGATAATTCGACATATGATGATGCTATCTACCGGAGAAGATATCAAATGAGAAGATCTTTATTCCGTTGTATAGTAGATGTTGTGATTGCTAATAACGATTATTTTCAACAAAGACCTGATGCCATAGGTAGTCAAAGTCTTTCACCATTGCAAAAATGTACTGGAGTCATGAGGGTGTTGGCGTATGGGACATCAATCGACGCAATTGACGAATATTTGAGAATGAGTGGTTACACAACAAGGGATGCTCTCATGAATTTAGTAGATGGTGTCATCTTATGTTTTGGTAATGAGTACCTTTGAAAGCCTAACAAAGATGATTTGGCAAGACTACTCCATGTTTGAGGTCAACGTGGATTCCCACGTATGATAGGTAGTATTGGTTGTATGCATTGAGAATGGAAAAATTGTCCGAACGCATGGGCTGGACAATATGCCAGAAGAAATGGAAAGCCAACAATCATTTTAGAAGCAGTTGCATCATATGATTTATGGATATGGCACGCTTTCTTTGGAACACCAAGTTCGTTAATGATATTAATGTACTTCATCGATCTCCTGTTTTTTGTGATGTATTGACAGGTCAAGCACCACAAGTTAGTTATATCGTGAATGGTCGTGAAAACAACAGGGCATATTATCTCACATATTACATATATCCTTCATGGACTACATTTTTCAAGTTAATTACATTTCCCACTAAGAAGATATACAAGTTGTTCGCTCAATGTCAAGAGTCTTGCAGAAAAGATGTTGAACGAGCATTTGGAGTTCTACAAGATCGTTTTGCATTTATTCGACACCCATGTCCTGTTTGGGATAAAGATAATATTGGACGAATTATGATTGCTTGTATCATCCTACATAATATGATAGTTAAAAACGAACTAGACGCATACCTCCATTATTATAATCCCACTGAATTTCTTAACAATATGCCCACAAATCGACAACCCGAAAGTTATACAGAAGATGATGGTCAACCGTCTACATTCTCTACTGAATTTGAATTGGAAATCTAGCCACTTATATGGCTAAAAGGGAACAACTTTATGATAGGGAAGCACATAATGCTCTAAAGATGATTTGATTGAGTATATATGGCAAAAATTCGACACCGATAATTAATTATGTCTTTTAAATATGTAATTCCATACTTCCTTTTGTAACTTGTTTTATTTATTTTCAGTTGTAAGATTTTTTAATAATTATAATTATGTTCTAAAATCTCGTTTTGCATTTTGTATGTTTTTATAGGGAAATATCTAAAAAACCTAATGGACTTTGGTTTTGGAATGATTAAGTCCTTGGACAATTTTTTGGAACAAATAAATCCTTGAACATTTCAAAACATGTTAAATAACTCATTGGATTTTCTATAACCTGTCAGGTGCATCCTTATGACATATACAACTGGTTAATGTGGTAAAATAACGGAAAAAGTCTGAAAAAGAAGCCAATGGACATTCATATTTTCAACGATTAAGTCACTAAACATTTTTTGAACAAAAAAAGTACAAACAAATATACCAAAAAAGTACTTTTATTTACAAAAAAAAATACTTACATTTAAAAAAATATTTTTGATAAAATCTATTTTAATTAAAAATAAAATATATTATGTCAGTGATTTTTGAAATTAAGAAAAATAAAAAAGGGTACACAACATCAA